CAGGTTGAGGAATGCAGTTCCCTCTATTCTGCTCTGGTGAGACCACAATTGGAGTACTATGTTCATCTCCAGGGCCCCCAGCTTTTCACAAGGGCATGTAGTGCCCTTTACAGCACAAGGGGAAATGGCTTTGAACTGCAAGAGGGTAGGTTTAGATAAAAATAAATTCTTTATTGTGAGGGTAGTGAGGCACTGGAACAGGTTGCCTAGAGAAGTTGTGGATGCCCCATTCCTAAAAGTGTCCAAAGCCGGGTTGGATGAGGCTTTGAGCAACCGGGTCTAGTGGGAGGTGTCCCTGTCCATGGAAGGGGTGTTGGAACGAGATGATCTCTAAGGTCCCTTCCAAGACAAACCATTGCATGACTCTCTGATTTCACCACCAAATGTAAAGCTGAGCTGCACTGTGAACAAAGGTATTCTCCTGCCTGCCAGGGCTATAACTGCAGGTGGAAACCACCCGCTGCACCACCACTGAACTGACATGGTGCCACTGAATTCAGCACTGACACTTCATGGGGGAGATGACAGGAGTGAAAGGCAGGTGCAGGGAATAATCCTTCAAATAAAGTAATGCAACACAAGCAATGTGGCAAAGGACTGGCACTGAGCTGCTGATCAATAAGAGGAGGGCAAGCACAGCATCCAGAAAGTGCATAACTGAGGAAAAGATGCACATCCATCATAAATATTATGTTAACATAATTAGTAAATTGCTGCTTGCTTCCCTCTCTGCCAAATAATCTTTTTAATCCTGTTTTCCGATTAAAAAACTTATTTCAGACAATCTTTTTGTCTGAAATGACAGCTCTTGCATGGGTTTGGCTGGAAGAAGTACAAAAAGTGACAGGAACTGGAGCCAGCAAAGGGAATGAACCAGCCTGGCTTCAGTGGCCACCACAGCCTGACAGGAAGAGCACGGATAAAGGCTGCCTCCTAACTATTACACAACCAGCACCAGCGGAGACGGCTGGAAAAGTGAAGAAGAGGTTCCTGACTGCACCAAAACCCACAGCACGGAGCCCGGCCATCCTAAAGCCGGCTTTAAGCTCCACGGAGTCTCGCAGTTTATGTAACACAAGCCACGCACCCTTTTGGGGCTGTCAGCTGTGGAAAGCGTCCGCTCTACCAGCTGCCACCGCAGCACTCCCGGTGCACCCCACAGCCCGGGAAGGACGCTGCTGTTTTCTTTCCCTCCGCCCTAAACCACCCTCGTTTTCCCTAAAAAAAAAAAATAAAAAAATTATCAAATCAATCCCCAAACCCATGAATATGACGGAACACTTAACAGGCTGCCGGCACGGCAAGCGCAAAGCGGGAACCCAAAGGCGCATTCCCCCGCCCCTCTCCCCGGCGCCCGGCTCACCTTGAACGACATCCTGCACATCGCCGCGCTCCGCCTCCGCCCCGCTCCGCTCCGGCCCGCGCAGCTCGGTCCGCACCGCTCCGCGCCCGGGGCTGCGCGGGGCCGGGGCGGGGCCGGCGCCTCCCTCCGCATCACTTTCTGCTCAGAGGCTTCTGGCTATTATTATTCCCCTTTAAAGGTGTGGGGTGGTTTTTTTTGTTGTTTTTGTGGGTGTTTTTTTGTTTTGCTTTGTGGTTTTTTTTGTTTGTTTGTTTGTTTGGTTTTTTTTTGTGCGGGAGGAGAGTATTTGGGATTAATATTATTATCATCCTTAAGAATATAAAATTAGAAAATAGTCGAATATAATTATTTTTTTAGAATATAATTTCATACAGTTACATAGAATTTTATTCTGTTGTTATTGGTGGTATTATTATTGTTATTGTTGTTGTTGTTAGTAGTAGTAGTAGTGTGAGGTATTATTGCCCCCCTGCTGCTGCAGCAGCATCCTGAGAAGCCAGCCCCCACAGTGGGGGTCCCACTGCACTCAGCCTCTCGTTCAGACCTACAGATCAGGCCTCTGCGGCTCAGAAATAGCACAGAAATGGTCCAAACCCCAGGCACCCTTACCCCAGCCCCAGTCTCATCACAGAGCTAATGCCACCACCCTAGCACCTCCTTAGCACATCGCAGCCTTTTCCCTTCATCTCTAGGAAAAACCTGTTAAGAGGTACGGTTGTGAGTACACCCACGCTGCGGCCAACACAGGCAAGTGGGGGGGGAGCACTCCTTCACCGTGCATGCATGCAGTTATCACCAACACTATCTCCCATGGGTGATGTGCTCTCATTAGGAAGCCAGTGAGTTCTTAGGAGCTTAACTTTAAGCCTTCAGAAATGAACAACCATGAAGCCAATGCATGTCCTGTTTTGCCTGGCTGCCGCAGATTTCATTCAAAGTCTGCGTGATATAAAATAGGCAAAGCAGGGCATGCTCTGGTGGGAGATTCCTGAATTTCTTTGCTATTGTTGGTTTAAACTGAGCCCTTAGGGATTTTGCTCTTTTGATGTGCACACATAAATCCCATTCACGGGAAAATTATGCGCGTGCACTGAGAGCAAATACTTGCGCTGAGATCCAAATAGTTTATTCTACAAATCTGCAAGTGAAGGATTTTCTGCAGATCTTTCTCCTGAGGCAATATTCATCTGTGCATACAGTAAAACAAACGGTAGGCAAGCAGATGAAAGCTGCTAATAGCACAAACTCATCTCAGAATGCATGGCCTGGTGTGAACCTCACTTTAATTACTGAGCAGACGATTCAAACATGGATGATCATTCTGATTACTTCTTAAACTTGAAAATACTGAATAAACTGAGTAGATTACACAGTTAAGAGTCTTCTTTGCTCTGATCCAATTGCACAGAGTTGCTTGCCCACTGACAGAGAAAAATATTACTGATCTGAACACAATCCCTACCTCACCCTTCAAAAATCCCTGTATTTATTCAATCTATTGGGAATAACATGCCGAATTTTTCACATTCGTGAGCCAAAATATTAGCCTTTTTGACAAAGGAAAAACAAAGAATTCTCTGAATGAACAACAAAAAAGGAGACTAAAGCAGTACAGGTTTCTTGTGTCTGTATTTTGGATGTCGAGGGAAAAATTTCTAAGTGCCTTTCTTAATTTCCCCACAAAATCTGAAACTGCACCTATTTTCTGTTGCACATGGTCTCCTGTGATTTTTCTGATTTTTTTTTTGTGGTTTTTTGTTTGTTTGTTTGTTTAATTCAGGTGCAATAAGTTGTCAGAACTGTTGAATACAGAAATATATATATAAGGTATGTTCTTTTTTGGTGATCCTTTGAAAGTTTATCCCAGAAACCATTTAGAAACTGTTTTTTTGATCTCTGTCTATTGTTACACTCAAAATCTTGTTTATGGGTATATATATCTCATATATATAAAACCAAGAATTTATAATTAGTACAACTGAATCTTAACAGTCTAACACAAGAACCATTACTAGAGTAGATACAATTATTGCAGAAAAAGAAGTCCATACAGAAAAATTAGGTAATATTAATAATACTACAGTTAAAACCTACGCACACCTTCTAGTTTTTACTCCTTTTCCTGATATTTTCCTCACCTTTCCCCTGCTCTGCTAGGTCCTGAAGTCAGTGGTTTCATTCTGATGGTGGTGCTTTGGGATGTTATGGTGAGCTGTCAGCATCTGGGGTTGGTCACTGCAGGGAATATGATGTTCATGTTAATGGCTTCTTCTTCCCCCTAGGATCTGCATAACATCAGTTTATATGTTTGCTAACATGCTTTTACATCTGACACTTTCTTCACTGGTCCACATTGCAACCAAACTAATTCTAATTTCAACTGGAAGAATCGCTCTTAGAGCTAAGCCGTGTAAAACAAAGTTGAGGGAGGTCAAGGAAAGGTTAAAGAGAGCAAACCTGACAAGGCTCAGCCCTGATGCCTTGCAAACTCAGTGCCTGCTACTAGCTGTGGGAATACTGTATCTTAGGGCTATGTGGTGATGCTACCCACATCTCCCTTATTTTTGATTCTTGGCAGAATACTTAAGGTTGCAAGGTACTTGAATTGGTTGGGATTTGCTACCTGTTAGGTAGAATTCATCTGCAGGGCAGCAGGCTGCATTCCTATCACCAGTATTTCATCACAGTGATTATTTCAAATATCCTGAATCACGCTGTCCTTTACAAATCTAAAGGCAACCCAAGATGAACTGCAGGAACAAATTAATGTATTGCCTTTAAAAGCTGAGCCAACCATTCTGTTTAAGTCCCAGACAAACGTCACATAAGCCAGAACAGTTCAGGCACATCTATATATGGAGGACTAAAAGAAGTAGCCAAATTTTAGATTAGCCGAAACATTCATTCAGAGCTCTTGATCCAAACATCTACAAGTTTTTACGCAAAGACAACATTAATTTCTATTTGCTTTAAGAAATGGCCATCAACAAACAAATACTCATTTAGAAATGTGAGTGAAGAGTAATGTAATTTTGCTTGCTGTGTATGGAAATAGATATATTTCAGCAGATAAGATGATCAGTATATGTTTTGTAACTTCAGCAAACTCTGACAGGAGATTCTGCCCCCCCTCCCGAGAACTTGCTAAATTTGACTGCCATCTTCTAGACTCCAGAGCTCTTTACTGCAGGGTGTGTCCCACAACTGCATCTGTGTAACTCAGGAGATACTGCATTGACAAATATGTTTCTGTGCTACCTTTTCTCATTTCCCATATGGCCGTATGTCAATAGAGTCAATTCATTTGCTTTCAATATCACCTGTATAAAGATCATCAATGAGAGCCTGTGACATTTATTCTCTGATTGTAACTTCCTTTTTTTTCTGAAGTTTTGCAAACGGGGGAGATCTTAGTATAATGTTATTGATTTCAGCTGTATCTACATTGTCTTCTTTCCTCAGACATTTGCTTCCATTAGCATTTAGTTATTTAAGTATTTTTTAAAATGTAAATAAGTTTGTATGTTTTTTCAGAAATAAACTACTTTATCCAAAGATTAAAAACAAAAGGCAATTTAAAATGTACAATGGAGCAATCCTCATCTGTTTCAGCTACAAACTCTGAAGCCTGGTTTTGCCCAGACAACAACAGCAATATGCCTTGCTACTGTGAACAGCAAATTCTATTTCTATTTTACTAAAGGTATAAATCCTCCATAATACTCTAGTTCTTTCTGCATGATTTCAAAATCCTGAATCATTGCCTCTTACAAGACTGTTGTATGTTTCTGCCTATGACCTCCTGTGTGGGTTTAGGCAAGTCTTTTGTGCTGAAATCTTCAAAAATGGCTTCTCAGTTTGGCTTCCTTACATTCTCTTGCCTTATAACTCAAAATGCTGACACCAGGACAAAGACTACTTTTGAAACCACCAGCCTAAGGTTTTCGCACATCAGTTTTTGTCAGCAAGATTCAAGACCAGCACACAGTAAGAGAGCAGCTCTAAAATTTTTTTCTCTTTCCCGACCTTTGGACTTTTTATGTTGCTAAAATCACTCTTGATCTTGGTTAAAGCCTGCAATGCACTGTGGAGTGAACAGAGCTGGCAAGCTCAGACACCACCAGAAGTTCTGCTGTGCCAGCATGGACGTCTGCATAGACCAACAAATCCAGCTGCTTGGATTGCTAAATCAGTTCACGCTGACTTCTCTGGGGACCTCCACATTAGAGTTCTAGTCTGGATGAGGAGTACACAGCTGAAGTGATTCTCCCGATTGTCTCTCTTTGCTGTGCTCTTTTCTTATTGTGGAAGAATCTTGTACTGTGCAAACTGGATCCATTTTGAACTAACCTCAAAGAATTTCTCCAGGAGCAGACTCAGTGGACTGCAGCTGCAAACAGGCATTCACGTCCCGGGATTGAAAGAGAGCTAATCTGAATTAAAACAAACACTCAAACCCAATGTTAAATGGATACAATGTAGAATTCAGGTGTTCAGCACCAACAGTTTGCTCTACAGATTCACTCCTGTTAGGCTGCACTACTTGCAAACGTAGACAGCCTGTGTTGTGCTACTACTACCACAGCTAGCTCAGGTATCTCTACACAGCCACGTTGGCTCCCCCCTCCTGACTGAAAATTATCCAAAGCCTTGTGCCACCGTCTCTTCTCCTTGCCCTGTGTGTGTTCTCTCATCCAGTGAGAATCTGGGAAGTCTCAGTATTTGCCAGATGTCCTGTAGCCCCTAAAATTGGGCTGCAAACTCTCTGGAGATCCTAAGACTGCCTACTGCAGTTTACAGTAGGTTTCACGTATGTGTGCTCCATCAACCCTCTACAGGGACATGGTGAACCTGACCTTTTCAGGGTGCACTATGCATAAGCAAATTCATGGTACATAGGATGCACAATAAATATGATACTTTCCAAGCTTGCTGTATCTACTGAAAACAGCTTGTGTCATCAGCTTGGACCTGTCCAACAAGAGTGATAAATCCTGGAGTGCCTGGGCATGCCTATCCCCTGCCAGGGAGTATTAATCATTCCTAGCATGCTGTACTACCTGTGACC